TTTTAAATGTTTTAATTGGCACCCTCATTTAACAATTTGGCAAGTAATTAAAAGAAAATTGCTTCCCTCCCTGCTTGGTAGTGTACTTGAAAGAAATGCTGTCTTTTCCTCCTGTACTCTTGACCTTGAAAACAACTTACATTCTTTACATATAAATTGTTTACTTACAATCTTTAAATGTATGTTTTATTTTTAAGAATAGGGATTAGGCCAGCTAAGTTTTCAAATTTCTCCTAAAAAGATATTGTAGGCCGGCGCCACGGCTCAGTAGGCTAATCCTCCGCCTTGCGGCGCCGGCACACGGGGTTCTAGTCCTGGTCGGGGCGCCGGATTCTGTCCCGGTTGCCCCTCTTCCAGCCCAGCTCTCTGCTGTGGCCAGTGAGTGCAGTGGAGGATGGCCCAGGTACTTGGGCCCTGCACCCCATGGGAGACCAGGATAAGTACCTGGCTCCTGCCATTGGATCAGCACGGTGCGCCGGCCGCGGTGGCCATTGGAGGGTGAACCAGCGGCAAAGGAAGACTTTTCTCTCTCTTTCTCTCTCTCACTGTCCACTCTGCCTTTCAAAAAAAAAAAAAAAGATATTGTAAGTAAACACAAAGTAGAAAAAAGTATTTCAGTGTTTATGAGTCATATTCATATGCATGCCATAAATATAGACTATGTCAATTACAGTTAGCATGTTAAAATTTTCATCCCATCAAATAAAAATTAATTAATAGACAATGGAAAATGGCTTTAATTTTTGTGCTCTTCATGAATAATAGGCATTTGGTGTCATAGCTGAGTAGTAAATTATTAATAGAACCAAATTGTGAAATAATATCATGTAATGGGTCAAAATTATTTATACAGGACTAGAATAAGGATGGAGCATGTGAATTCTCATTAATATACCATTAGCCTTGTCACACAATAGTAGAGAATAAAAGGGCAACTTTGAATGACATTTATATCAACTTTGGAACTGTCAGTTCTCAGGTCCTTGGGGCCATGCACTTTGTGGCTGTGAGACATCTGTGCTGCCTGGAATGGAGAAGAGTAGCAAGAGTTCCAGTGGGTCTCTTGCACTAGCGAATGCTCTGAATGGTCATCTTCAGTGCATGCGTGCAGTCGTTCTTAGTGCTTGAAGCTAAAACATAGGCTGTTTCAGCCCATCTGTACCTACGTCCCATCATCTTCATCAGCATCACCAATGCTCCTGTATACACACTCACACCCCATTTCCTGTGTCCTAGGTGATCTCCATTGCAACTCTAGGAATACATTCCATCCTCTTTGGTATTCTTTTCTTTTCTTTTCTTTTTTCTTTTTTCTCTTTTTTTTTTTTTTTTTTGACAGGCAGAGTGGACAGTGAGAGGAAGAGAGACAGAGAGACAGAGAGAAAGGTCTTCCTTTTGCCGTTGGTTCACCCTCCAATGGGCCTCGCGGCCGGCGCACCGCGCTCATCCGAAGGCAGGAGCCAGGTGCTTCTCCTGGTCTCCCATGGGGTGCTGGGCCCAAGCACTTGGGCCATCCTACACTGCACTCCCTGGCCACAGCAGAGAGCTGGGCTGGAAGAGGGGCAACCGGGACAGAATCCCGCGCCCCGACCGGAACTAGAACCCGGTGTGCGGGCGCCGCAAGGCGGAGGATTGGCCTAGTGAGCCGCGGCGCTGGCCCCTGTTTGGTATTCCTGCATGGTTAAGTGAACCAGCTTCCTTTAATTTCTCCCAGGCACCTGCAGCACGTTTACAAGAGTTGTGATGCTGGGAAAGGAGGCTCTAGGGCTGTCACATCAGGGACCGGTCGTTCCACACAGAATGTAGTCAGCAGCTATGACATGTGGTGGGGGGGAAACGTCTGAATTATTTACCACTGCAAAATAATAACTGGTCAAGAGAGTCCCTACAGGACAGTCAACATATTTAGTTTTAATAGAAAGGGAGAAGATCTGGATTCTAATCCTATTGCCCTACTGAATCTCAGTAGCATTTGAAGTACACATTAATACTAGTATATGGTATGCCCAACTCCAGTCTTTTTATTAATTTTTTTAAAGACTATTTATTTACTTGAAAAGCAGAGTGACTAAGAGGGTGAGACGAGAAAATGGATCTTCCATCTACTGGCTTGCTGTTCAAGTGCCAGCCACAGCAGAGCTGGGCGAGACTGAAGCCAAGAGCCAGGAACTCCACCCAGGTTTCCCACATGGATGGCAGGGAACTTGATCTGATGCCTCTCAGATCCATTAACAGGAAGCTGGTTTGGAAGCAGAGTAGCTGGGACTCTAATATGGGAGTTGGGCACAAGCAGTTGCTTATCCTGCTTTGCTACCATGCCTGCTTGCCCCCTACTCCCTGACCCTGAGGAGGTTTATGTCATTCACGTGTGTGTGTGTGTGTGTGTGTGTGTGTTATTTGAAAGGCAGAGGGAAACACAGAGAGAAGAGAGATTTTTCCATCCACTGGTTCACTCTCCAAATGGCCACAATGGCCAGAGCCAGGGGCCAGGGGCCAGGGGCCAGGAGCTACTTCATGTCTCCCACATGGGTGGCAGGGCCCAAACAGTTGGGCCATCTTTTCCTGATTTTCCCAAGCCATTAGCAAGGAATTGGATTGGAAGCAGAGCAGGCAGGACACAAACTAGTGCCCATATGGGGTACGGACACTGAGGGCAGTTTTACCCGCTATGCCACAATACAGGGCCCCCGTATGTCATATATTTAATTTGAAGAATGTCTTTAAAGGATTTTGATGCCTAATAAAATTTGCTTAAGGGACAGGCATTAGATGCATAGTTGAGACACCACTTGAGACACCTGCTTCCCCAGTGTGTGTAGATTTGAGTCCCTGCTCTGCTTCTCATTTGGCTTCCTGCTAATGCATACCCTAGGAGATAGCAGGTGATGGCTGAAATAGTAGGGTCCCACATCTGAGACCCAAATACAATTCTAGGTTCCTGGCTTTGGTCTTTCTTAGCTCAGATTGTTGTACACATTAGAGGAGTGAACCTGTGGGTAGGAGATTTCTCTCCCTCTCCTTTTCCCTCTCCCTCTCCCCCTCCCTCCCTCCCTCCCTCCTTCCCTCTCTCCCTCCATCTCTCTCTCTCTTGTGTGTGTGTTTCTCTCACTCTACCTTTCAAATAGATAAAACTTTTTTTAAAAAACTAATAATCTCCCTTTGTATTTTTCTTGTGTAAGGCAGTGGCTCTCAAATTTTAGTGTACCTCATTGAATGCTGTCTACAACACTTGTTCTAGAACCCATCGCTAAAGCTTCTGTGAAAGAGAATTTGCCTTTCTAACAAGCTCCCATGTGGTGCTGACAGTGCTAGTCCATGGACTACCCATTCATACTGGAACACAGAAAAAGGACAGAAAACTTCTGGGTTTCTGCCAAACATGGCATCATACATACAGATTATGGCTAAGAGCTCAACAAAAAATGTTTCAAATTGAGCAATTTAGGAATAATTTTGCTCCTATAGTTTTTTTTAAATGCTAGAGTAAACTCAAAATTATATATTGAGTCAGTCATGGAATTATCCTATTTCACTGCCTACCAACATTCTATGAGTCAATATAAATTTGGCAGAATGACCATTAATTTATGATGTATCTCACATGATACCAGATTGCCAATTTGAATTATCTCATCTATTTTCAAATAACTGTGCTTTTCTCTGAAAACAGAACTGAAAAAAAAATTACAAGAGCAAGTTTTCCTAGTCTGTTCATTTGTTTCCTTAAGCGCAGCTAACCACAAAGTTGAATAATAATCTAGTAATAATAGACCACCTAAAATATGACCTTTACCACTTTTGTAAAGTTACTTATTTCTATGATTTCTTGGTAAATGTGTTCCTGCAATTTTGATATATCCCTTCATTAACATATGTTTCCATGACACTGAATCATCCCATTTTATTAAAAACTCTTCTGTCTTCAACAAGATGCTCTCTGCTATTTTAGATAATTTATGTTTTCAACTCGTGAAATAGTAACTAAGTGGAAACTAGATTTTCATCCCATATTAATACCTATGTGAAACTGTATATAATGTGAACGGTCATGTACAGACAGTGTGGGAGCACAGGAAAGGAATGAAAATACTTTTTCTGCAATGAAGAAAAAAGGGTGTGTTGTTCGTATTGTCGGATTCTTATCTAATGTGATAGAAACATGAGTTGTATTGCACCTGTACATGTTGCTTAGGAAATTCCCTAAGAGCGAATATTGAAAGGCATAAAAGTGAATGAAGACTATGTTTTGTCCCGTTCAGGGGTGGGACCACTGGAAGTGACTAGTGGTGCAGAACTGATCACACACAAATCCTCCTGCCACCTGTGGCATGTCAGGAAACTCTGGAAGGCAAATCTGGATTTTGAAAGCGTGTTTGCTAAGGATTTCAAACAGTGTCGCATACATAAAAGCAAATACCTGAGGGTCATGTTAATTTATATCTTTCCATTTTTAGAGCCATTCTACAAGTATGTCCCTGAAACTTAGGAGAAAATAGTATTTTCTAAGAAAACTCTCTTGTTTTTTATGCAACTTGAAGAGCATTTCTGATCACAGCGCTTTAAGTCCTGCATCATGAACGTTCCAGATAATTTGTCCAAGGGCCAGAGTATAGAGGGCCCTGTTTTGGGAGGTTCAACAAAACAAAGAAAGAAAACTGTATATGTCACAGTCTTGTAGGAACTAAGTAATGTCACGCAATCAAAATGGAAAGAGTAACTTTTTTAGATGATTTGTTACGGGTTACATCAATTGTGATTTTTCTGTGGGTAATTGAGTGTACATGTACTTTGTCTTAGACAGAAGAGGTTCTGTGATTTGCAGCTGAACGTGACATTATGTTGACAGCTGACCCAACGCTGTCCGGTTCAGATCTTTTGTTGAGATCACTGATTAGCAGAGTAATTTGGTGGGAAATGGCAGACTGGGTATTCCTGTGTTTTTCTAGACATTTTTGATCAGCCTTTCCTTATCACAGCTCATGTTCTAATGATCATTGCAGGATGAAGTGGCACAGCCACTGAACCTATCAGCTAAACCCAAGACCTCTGATGGCAAATCGCCCACATCACCCACCTCTCCCCATATGCCAGCTCTGAGAATAAACAGTGGGGCAGGTCCCCTCAAAGCCTCTGTCCCAGCAGCGTTAGCTAGTCCTTCAGCCAGAGTTAGCACAATAGGTAAGTTCTGTTTCTTTTGTTCTTGCTCATTTTCTGTTTATGGGAATTGAATGAAATGGTCTTTAATGGCATATCCCACATACCCTGTGCATGGCTTCCGCTTGATAGGGGAGTTTCAATTTGAAGAAACACCTAGGTCTGTTTTAAATATGCAAATGAAATATCAAGCCGAAGTCCAACTTTTAATGTCCTCCTGAAAATCTAATTGTACTACTTATGTATATAAGTATAACTTACATCTTTAATTTAATTAATTTGAGAAGAGGCCACAGTGCCTAATCATAGCCAGCAGTGGTTCTAGAATGTTGTTGTTAGGTGACTTACCTTTTCCATCCCTTGTGTTTATTTTGATTTTTTTTGATGGGCCAAAACTATACTTAATGATGAAATACATTTTGTCTGCATCAGCTAAAATTCGTCAGGATATAAAGCCCATTGCATTCCATTCTGTTTGAGTATTGCATGAATGTACCGAAAGTATTACAAAACAGTGGATGCCTTCACTTCTCCATGCTGTTACTTTGAGTAAACCACACTAAGAAACATTTCCACAAGGAGAGAAAAGTTTAGTCATTTTGGCATATATAAATTACACCGTAAATACTGACACCTCCATTTATTGATGTTTGTTACTCGCACACAGTACTGCTCACCCTGCATAGACTAGCCTTCAGGTGGCTCGTGGGAAACTTATGTGATTTTTAGTGTGAAGCAGGAGTAGTAAGCACTGTTCCAGAGCACGGGCTCAATCCTGTAGTCATGGAGAAGAGGGTGTTGCATTCTATTTGGGAAGGATCAAGAAAGACTGAGGTGGAGATAACCTAATTCAGACTGGGCTTTGAAGAAAAGATTCATTCTTAGGCATACTGTGCTATAAAAAAACCATACAGAATAAAACAGCCTGTTTTTGAGAAATGCCGTGATCTTGCCAGAGTATAGTAAGAATACATGGTAGAAAGTGAACAGAACTAACCCGAAGGGCTCATGTGGAATTTGGAACCTGGTTTCATACTCTCCCGAGGAATTTCACTGTTTCATCTTAGTATAGTGTTGGTGACACAAAAATATTGGAATCAGGGAAACCATTGTTTTTGTGTAGGCAAGGAGAAGTTATATGAGATAGGCATAAGCAATGATAAAGCAGAGAAATGACTCAAGAGATACTATTAAAGAAGAATTGGCAGCACCTATCCCCAAACTGCTAAGAGTCAAGTTGAAGACAGTGGAGTCTAGGATTTCCAATTTAAGAAGGAAATGGAATTGTGTCTCCATTAACTATGAGAAAGATCAGAATGGGATGAAATTTGGCAGAAGACATAAATATAAAAATTGAAGTATGTTCGGTTTGAAATACAAAGAGGAAGAGCAGACTAATGGATGAGGAAACTGTGGATGTCTGATATGTGAAAGACATGCTAGAATCTTAGGGATGGACATTTTTCCTTGTTCAGGCTTCGGAAGCCAGGAGAACAAGTAAGTTTACCAGAAAAGAGTGCATCTGGAAAGAAGTGGAGGAAATAACCATGGCTTCCACCTGTTGTATTAGTTAAATGTTGCTTAAAAAAAAGTTTACCAAAACCCTAGCAGCTTGAAACAACCAGTGTTTGTTAACTCATGGTTTCCAAAGATCAGCTCAGCTGGTTAGGTCAGGCTTAGGATTTCACATGTGCGTGAGGGAAGATATTAGCATGAGCTGCTGTCATCTATAGGATTTACTGGGGATGGCTGATGCATTGCCAAGATGACTCCCTTCTGTGGCTCTTGGTTGGACACTTCAGTGCTTTTCCACATGGGTCTACACTGAAGGTGTTCAAGGAGTGACAGCTAAACTTCCCCACAGCGACTGATCCAAGAGAGAGATGGAGCAGATAAAGCCGCAGTGCCTTCTAAGACCTGTTCTCCCAAGTCCCACAGTCAGTGCTGCGATTCTCTTTGTTTTCAGGGAATCATGAAATCCAACGCAAGGGAAGGGGCAGTTAGGCAGTTAGGCACCAGCTCTTAAGGGTATTAGTGAAACATCTTCAGACAGATCTCAAAGTTACCATACCTTTTTTTTTTTTTTTAAAGATTTATTTAATTACTTGAAAGGCAAAGAGAGAGAGAAAGAGAGAGAGAGAGAGGGAGGGAGGGAGGGAGGGAGGGAGGTCTTCCATCTTCTGGTTCACTCCCCAGATGGCTGCAGTGGCTGGACCTTCGGCGGATCCAAAACCAGGAGCCAGGAGCTTCTTCTGGGTCTCCCACACAGGTGCAGGGGCCCAAGGGCTTGGGCCATCTTCTACTGCTTTCCCAGGCCATAGCAGAGAGCTAGATCAGAAGTAGAGCAGTCAAGACTCGAAATGGCACCCACATGGGATGGTGCACTACGCCACAGTGCCAGCCCATACCACACCTTTTCACATGAGAAACTAACAAAGAGTAAGTGAGTATCTTCGAAGAAGAATAAAGGTAGGATGATATCATGCTAGCCCAGGAAAACAAAACATTTCCAAAGAGAGGGATTATGTAATGGTGGGCACATTTTATAGGAAAGTTACAGAATATGAAGAAAAGCCTTAGGATTTAGCTGATGTTCACAGATAGGAAGAACCTGACAGTGAGATTTTAGCAGGATGACTTGAACAGATTTCCAGTTGCAAAGATTTTAAGTACAAGAAAGGTCAGTTGATGATATAGAGCAATCTTTTTTTAAGTTTGGTATTGAGAAGGCTGGATAGAAACAGATTTTAGAAACAGGAATTTAAATCTATATTCCTTTTCAGGGAGGAAGGGGACAACGAGTGGGGGCAATGAATAAATATGAAGTAGTACAGGATGACAATATACCAAGAACAAGAGAGCAGAGAAAGGATTAGCCTTGGAAAGGAGAAGAGCTCCCTCTTGCATTCTGAGACTGGAGGGAGTGAAGAGAAAAAATAGTAAAAATTCACAGAAATAGAGGATGGACACAGAGTGGACAAAAAAAGGCCAGAGAGTGTATTTCAAATGCTGTCATCTCCACAAAGTAGAATGCAAGCGTGTGTGTTAGAGGAACTCAATTTGGGGTGGTACAGCAGCATGAGCACAGGAAGCAGTGAAAACTGAAGTTTGCAGAAGTTGAAAAGGTTTGGGATGCCCACGTACTCTTCTCCTTTTTCATCCTTAGGGTCCAGCTCCCAGTTACTCTGCTCAGCTTCCTAACTGGGTGCCAAGATGAGATTAGCTTTTATGTACCAGTATGTAAAAGAGAAAATATTTTATTTGGCAAGAATGACTCACTTCCGTAATAGACACAAAGGTTCATAAATATCTCAGTGTTGATATATGAGCTAATTTTGTAATAGAACTAGCACTGAAATATTTAAATACTATGATAACTAATACATGCATTTTATCATACGTGGATTTTTTTACTTCAACATTCACAAGGATTAAATATGACAAAGTATTTCAGAAAGCCAAGAATGTGTGTAAAAACATTTATCATATGACTTTCTCCACTACATAAAACATCTCTTTTTTTTTTTCCTGAAAAGTCCTGTTACCACATACACATCCCTTATATTTTTCAAGGATTTGAGGCCACTACAATTTACTTTTCTCTTTTCAACAAATGCAGATGTTGAAAGCTGAAACTGTAATGAGTAATAATGCAGTTGGATAAAAGCTGTGAGGATTAATGGCGTTGTAAAGGTCAGCCCTGAAAGAAGAATTAATGTGTTATGCCATTAATAAACCACAGAAAACCATGGACCAAAAGATAACTTCAGTTATCCTTAATGACATGGGGCTCTTTGCTATATATCTATTAGCTACAAATACAGAGACTGACTTTTTGAGGTTGGTGACCAGTATTACAGTGTATTCTAAGAGAATGCTTTAGATATGGTACGCAAATGATAGGCAGCGCTAAAGAAAGGAATCCTTAAAAGGCACGGGTAGTTCAGAAGAATGGTGGATAATTTTAGAGTCTTTGGACTAGGTGTTGTCTTTCCCTTTTAGACCTTATCAGCCTGTGTTATCCATACATGTAATGCTTTTAACTTTTGTTCAAAGCATTTTTTCATCTATCTTCTCACTACCGCTCTTCTAGAATTATAGGTCTTTAATTAGAGCAGATAAGCACAGCATCTGGTCACGACTTACTTTATATGTAAAGGCCAGAGACATAAAGAGGCTAAGTGTCTACCTAGGAATTTCAAGTCAGTTGCTGTCAGAGAATAGGAAGTTGCGTGGGGCTGTGTGTATTTGCTCTGGTGCAGTTTTCAGGATACCAGTATTCATGAAGAGCAAGTAGCTTGCTGAGATTGGAAGCCAGCCGGGCGGGAGCCTTGCAGCAGGCTCTCTGGGCGGCGGCCTTCCTTTTCAGTCGCTGCCTCTTGCTGTCCTCTTAGCATTTGATGCTGTTCCCAGCCATTTGTCCTTTCTCTCATCCCGTTAACAAAAGGGAACTCAATGGCTTCTCTCTGCCATTTATTCTGCCAACCCTGGAGGACAAGCAGACGAAACATCTTGGACTGAGGCTGTAGGAGCCTACAGTCTGCCCTTGTGTATCTCTGAAACAAACAGGAAGCTCTCATGTTTACCCTTCTCCTCCTTCCCTCAGAGGCTTATGGAAAGTCAACCTTCCCCTGAGCACCTGTTGTAGATGCATATTAACCAGCTGAAATGGAGGAAAATATTTCCAAGTTCATGAACTGGTATCCTATTTCTCTAAGTTTCTAATTTAAAATATGGTGACAGAGGAATTGGAGCTTCATCAGTTTAAGTTTTTAATGAAAAATTTTCTGAGGGTTTTAATGTGAAAATCTTAGAGGAGAGTAGTTGACTGAACTTGAATATTGTAATTCATCAAAAACCTTTGGGTTATCAAGAAAGTTAAGATTATCATCCAGGGGCCGGCACTGTGGCACGGCAGGTTAAGCCACCATATGCAGAGCCAGCATCCCATATGGGTGCCTGTTCAAGTCTTGGGTGCTCCACTTTTGATTCAGCTCCCTGCTAGTATGCCTGAGAAAGCGCTG